TATGCATCTTCCATTGTCAGTTTACTCTTGTGTTTTTAAAAGTCATAATAAAACTTAAGAGAAAAGTTGTCTTGATTAAATGAGATATAGCTTATTGTGGGGTCTACATTTGTTACCCAATTAGTAAATATTGATTCCATTTTTCCTCTCCTAAAATGTCTCATTTAACATTTTAAAGTTTCCACCAGTTAACTTTGACTCTCTTTATTAGGAATTCAATGAAATCACCTAAAGTTCTTTTTGGAAAAAAGTATATAAATGAATAAATTCAACTCACCCAAATTATGAAATTATTATTAAATTAAATTAAAATTGTTAACTCAAATTTTATACATCTGTATTTATTTGACATTTCTCAATAGAGATTATATGCAAGGCATTTTATTTGTTACTATGAGGTATATAAAAATTAATCTACCACAGCTCTTAGTTACGTTTCAGCCATTTATATTTTATAAACTTTTATAAGTTTCCCTTTAATGTTAGCAAAAAAAATAACAGAGGGAGAAAGAAGGTTTATCTTCACACTTGTGTCAGGCAAATGCATCTCCACTGGAATACTCATATAAAGTGAGTAGGGGGAATGAATACAAAAATAATAAGCTCATGCAAATATTAACATTGTCAATATTTGTATGAATTTCTGTAGAAATAAATCTTAAATGTAATCAGTCCTCAGTGTGCTTTAGATGTGTGTTCCACTCTCAGTTTTATAACTAATAAGAATACTTTTTAAAAAACTGCTTTTTTTTTTTCCACCCTTGAGTTTCCTCATCTCTCAAACAAAAGAATGGTCAGATGATCTGTGAGATTTGTTATCACTGCTAAAATTCATAGTCAGTGCCTTCACGCCATTAGTGTTTTTATTTAAGGAATCATGATTGCTACAATAATTTAGTCAAAAAGTGGGTCAGGAAATTGGTATTAATTTATACTTTAACCTCTCCTTTTACCTGAGGAACAAATTGAGACCCACAAGATTCAAACATATGGCTTATCCATGCAGAACCATGTCAAAAATGCAAATCAAGTCAATACTCACAATGTCTTTTCAAATTTTTATAAGTATTTTAAAAGTTCTTATTGACCTGAAAATTTATCTTTTGAGTGTGGATACCTTTGCAAATTATCCTTTCCTGTATTTCTGTGAATTATGACAGAAAAATTCAAAAAATATCACTAGGTAGTTTTCTTAAAATTTAAAATTTGTTACAGTGACCTTTTAATTTAGTTCTCTCAAGTTACCGTCACCCAGGTAGTCTGGAAGTGCTGGTAATAGTGGTAAGTGTCCAAATTCAAATACATCATTCTTCAAGATCAACAATGACAAAAATAAGGAGGTGGTCATTCAAATATACCAATGATCAGAGTTGTCATTAAAGATCTCTATGATAACACCACTGATTTTTAAACATACTGCAGAAAATTCTATTCAGTTACCTCTTTCAAGATGGCCAACTTGAAGGTTTCCAAAACTGAAGGTACTTTTTAATCTTTTTAGACGAACTTTCAGGGCCAACACCACATTAATGCTGAGAAACTTTGTATCTGTATGTATGAATTATAGTCAAGTTGGATTATATATAGTTGGTTATATTTGGGGGTAATAACATTTTGTCCCCATGATGATTACATCTTTAAGATGGCCCAGAAGATGGTCTTTACAAAATTTTCAACGCTTAGAGATAGAAATGTAAATAGAGACCTAGATATTAAAATTTTCAGTTCCATTTAGTCTTTCGCATGAAAAAAATGTAAGATAGGCAGTAAGTGGTAAGCTGTGCCCAATACATGTGAAGCGCGTTTGCTGAGATAGACACCCTCTCACTTGCAATGATAATTTTGTTATTTCTAATATTAGGTAAACACAGAGACACTAAGGTACACAGATCACATATGGTATATACCTATCAACATCAAATTATTATGCAAACATAAAGATTTCTTAATACTCTTACCTTAGTTTTCAAAGAAAGATCCATGATTAAAGGGAAAGCAATATAGTCCAATGCTCCACTGTCTTCTTTTTGCTTATATACTAGCAGTATCTGGAGCTGTTAAAAAGTCAAGGTTTTGGGGGTTTTTTGTTTGTTTTTTGGTTTTTTTAAAACAGTGAAGAAAAACTAAGTTAATTTAAGCAAACATTCAAATAAGAAAAGGAGTAATAAGCATATAGGATAACTCACTGAACTCCAGAACTGCAAACTCAGTTGGACCTCACAAGGGACTATGAACATGAATGAAAGGCTTTTCCCATTCTCTGAAACACACCTTCTGTCTTCACTGTGTTTTGGCTACTCCCCACCACTAACGTTCATATGTCCTCTTTTCTCAGTTGACCAACTTAGACTGTCACCAGATTTTAAGGAATTCATGATAGATGGTTGGCCCCGCCTGGGTCAGGCCTCTCCCTTGGGTCAAAGCAGCCGTGGACAGAGCAGCCAAGGGTCATGAGCGCACCGCGAATGTGTTGGGTTGAAGGGGCAGTGGGGGGAGAGGACGTAAGAGTAGGGGTCCAGGACTCAGAGAAGGTGAGCCCATGACCTAGGCATATCCCAAAATGCACCTACCATAATATATTAAAATATTTTAAAATTCCAGTAAAACTTAGTCAAAACAAATCTTATATTCGAACCATGTATTTTCTAGAATAATTAAATGTTGTTTCATTACATAGTTTTTCTATTTTATAGCAGAAATAAAAATAAAAAATAGAAGACATACAATGGGAAATACTGTCCTTAGAGTATACCTCAGTGATTGGATTAGTTTTAGAAAGAAAGGGATTTTTTTTTTTAATTGACAAAAGTTTATGACTTTTTTAGCTTGTCTTGCTTAACTTAGTATCCAAGAATTCAGCAACAGTGTGCCTTGAGCTCTTTGGAGCTGAAGCATTGCATGTAGAAATCTAACACACAGTTATACTTGTCTCAGTCTTATCTGAGCCTGTGGTAAAGGTCACACAACTGCTGAAAGGTTCAGTGATTTTAACTGATGGAACTAATGTCCATCTCTGTAAAAGGGGACACTTTGGAAGTGTCCCAATCTTTGTCATGATGAATCAACTTAGAAAACATTTACCAATCTGTACTCTCCTTCCTGATAATTCCATCAACTGCACCACTAAAATACCATGGTATCTGAATACATGCAGACATCTATTTAAAATAAATAATTAGTACTTTTATTTTGGAGATGGGCAATCATCCCTGTTTTGTGTGAAAACAGGCAGTGTGGATCACCTCAGCAAGAGGCACTTGATACAATCTCATTTATTTGCGTCTTTGTCCCTATACTAATTATAGAAAAAGTGGGGGAGAGAGGAATTCTGTTGGTTCTAACAATTTTTAAAGAGAAGTTATAATGGAGTTACATAAGCAACAGCTCATAACATGCTTCATAATTACAGATATAAGCAGATATACATCAAGATAAGGAGTGCTGACAAGAAATAAAATTCAGAGACAAAAAACTCCAACTAACCAAACATTTTTATCCCTTCTTGGCTTTAGCCCAATCAGTACTAATTCCTCAAGGCTAATTTTGTTCAGATGGAATCTTGGGAGCCTCAGCAAAGAGCATCTGAAAAGTTTTCTCACTGGCATTAGGCATGCTTATTATTCACATAGAGTTTCCACTGTATCTGCTTACTGTTGGTCTTAAACTGCTTCTCTTTTGTCTTTTATACTATCTGACATCCTAATAGGAGATTTTAAGGGAGGTGGCAATGTTTTTCCTGGGGTGACTATGTGCTCAGCACTTTGTAATATCTGATTTAATCTTTACAACAACCATGTTGTACACATGAGGAAACTGAGGCTCTGGGGTTATTGTTACTTGTCCAAGGTTATCCAGCTAGCATGTGTGTGTATGTGTGTATAATTCGTCTGTATTCACACCCTTTCCACCACATGAAATCGAGAAGGGGGATTTATCTAGTGAATAAATATTATTGCGTGAGGTATGTATAGCAAGACATTCAATGTTATTTTTGTACTAAATTGAACATAAGTGCTTCTCATGGAAAGAGAACACTAGAAAGAACTATTAAGTTCTAGATTTGACTTAGATAAAAGCTAAGTGTGGGATTTGGGGCCAATAATACTTCCAGGACTCAGTTTCTTTATTCTATCCATCTAATGTGTCCCCTCATGCTCTATAAACTTGTCCCTTTTATATGCTTATCTTATATAAGAAATAACAGATATTAAATGTGATATAAATACAATATAAAATAAAAGTTTCCCTTAATTATTTTTCCTACTTGTTTGGAAACTAAGATTTAGGGAAGTAAATACCTCCCATAGCTGTTTCACAGCTACATCCCTAGTGCCCAGACTGATCCCAGAAGTTTAATAAACATGCAGTGTTTCTCAAGTGAGTGAGCAAAAGGAGAGTATAAACTGAGAAGGAAGAAGAGCCACAAAACCTACGCCCCCACCCACAGTACATTTATTTCTGTGCCATCATTTTCTGTTGACTTGTCTGTGCCTCCTGCTGGTGGGGGAGGGGATCTGAGACTGGGGTTATCTTCACAGTCATACCCCCTTTCCCTGGAACAATGCCTGGCCCTCTCATGATGGGCCCTCAGTAAATAAAAACTGTGCTAAAGTCTGGAAATGTAGAGCTATTTACTTCATTATCATCATGACATTGTTCACCTAGGAATTAGGTTTGAATATCAGTGTATGTTTCTTAGAGGACACAATTACAGAACAATCACAGAGGATTATGACTGAGATTAAATCAAAGCAAATTAAGAAAAATTAAAAGTATAATAACTGTTTCACAGTGCTTCTAGACTTTTAAAGTATCCTGAATTTCTTGGGTATATGAAAGAATGAATGTATGAGCTAACTAAAAAAATCAACTCAAACTATAATTATTAAGTAGATCCTAACCTTTTGCTGGCCTGTAACTTTATGGCTAAGCCAGATAAATTTGTGTCCTGTGCCATTAAACCAGAGCCTGTTCATTTTATGTTCTTTTTCCTTTCCTAGTCTGTGAATTTCTGGTATGTACTGGTGATGAATGATGAACACACTGAGAGGAGATATCTGCTGTTTTTCCTTCTGAGTTGGGGACTTCCAGCTTTTGTGGTGACTCTCCTCATAGTGATTTTGAGAGGAATCTATCATCAGAGCATGCCACAGATCTATGGACTCGTCCACGGTGACCTGTAAGTACGTCCAGGCAGAACGCGTCGCTGTTAGCCTTCATGCACCCAGACAGCTTTATTGGTAGACGGTGGAAAGAGCTGACTCCCAGAATGATTGAAGGAATACCGGGAAGACCCAGCTTCCTGTCACACTGTCTGAAGCTCTACTTCCTCTAATTATCCCTTTATATAAGAAACTATTGCCTCTCCAGTTCCTTTGATTGATTTAATTTTCTCAGGTGAGGGGATATAGCAAACAGTTCACAGTAATTTGTACCTTAGCGTGATTTAGTTTCTTCTATTGAAACCAACAAAAATACCGAGTGAAATCAAAGAACTATAAAAATTTTGATAAGGAATATAAGCAGTGAAAATTTGGAGTGTGGCACATCAAGGAGTCTGATTTGGGAAGGGGCATTGTGGGGGAAAGGCAGGCACCATCATCCAGAGAAAATCCTTGTAAAACTAAAAGACTGTATCAGAGTGAATGGAGAGTGTCTGCAAAAGTACACAGGAAGTTGACAGGTCAATTAGGTCTTTCTTATATTATGTATGAAGTGAACTAGTAGTTTTGAAATCTACAGATCTTCTTAACACATCTGTAGACATGCCTTAATCCTGAATCTGGTATCTTACAGATTTTCAGACCACTCACCTCCTTTTATTGACTCCACACGCAGAAAAAAGGCCAAAAGCCTTTGTAATAATAAAGCTTACTCAGCTTCCTTGGTATAATTATAATTAGAGGAAACAGTAACATTTCTAAATAAGAAAGAATAGTCTATTCACAGTCTTATGAACACAGTATTACCTAAGTATCTCACAGGATTTTGCAGAGATAAAAATTAGTTAACAGATGTGAAAAAATCTTTGAAAGTTAAAAGCACTTTATAAGCAAAAGTCACTTTACTACTATTACTGCCTTTGATCAATTATGATTGTCCATCATATACTTAATAGATACTTGTCAATGTATGCAAATGTATTTAACATGTGGGCAATGACACACACATGTCCCACACCACACTCAACCACAGGAGATTAGTTGTGTAATACACTTGTAACTAGTCATTTGCCTCTCTATTACTGAGATTCAATGAGATTCCCTCAAATTGATTATAGTAGTAGAATGTATTTTTCCCACATAAAATTCTAAAAGCCTAATTGTCTACAAAGAAATGATCACATCTTTTCAAAATCATGTTATGACCTTATACTACCCTGGCTTTAATTTAAATCTTGGGCTGCCAGGATTAATTTCAGAAAGTTCTGCATCACTTTTTGTCGAATACAAAGTAACCATGAGAGAAGCCCTGGTAGCTGGCAGCCCGTCCCTTTCTGAGCTCCTGGCTGAGACAGACCTTCCTGGTGGCGGTGTTAGCTCTCTCGGTGTCCCCATCCAGCCCTGGTGAGTGGGACCTGACGACGGCCATGTTAATTTGAAGAAACTCTCCAAGAGTTTCTACAAGGATTTTTTTTTTAATTTTTCAACTACAGTTTACATTCATTATTATTTTGTATTAGTTTCCCATGTACAGTAGAGTGATTAGGCAATCACATGCTTTACAAAGCTACCCCTGGTATTTCTAGTACCCACTCGGCACCATACGTATTCGAGGATTACATTATTGACTATATTTCCTATGCAGTACTTTACAGCCCCATGACTATTTTGTAACTATCGACCTGTATTTCTCAATCCCTTCACCTTTTCAGCCAGGCCCCAACCCCTTCCCATCAATCATCAGTCAGTTCTCTTTATCTACATGAGCCTGTTTCTGTTGTTTGTTCATTGATATTGCTAATTAGATTCCACATGTAAGTGAAATCATATGGTATTTGTCTTTCTCTGACTATTTCACTTAGCATAATGTTCTCCAGGTCCACCCATGCAGTTGCAAATGGTAAGATTTCATTCTTTTTTATGGCTGAGTAATATTCAATTATATATATGTGCTTACTTACTTTTTTGTCTACTCATCTATTAATGAGCTTCCATATCTTCGCTATTGTAATAACACTTAAATGAACATATGGATACATGTATTCTTTCAAGTTAGTGTTTTGAATTTCTTTGGATAAATACCCAAAAGTGGAATTCCTAGGTCATAAGACAGTTATATTTTTAATTTTTTGAGGAACCTCCATAATGTTTTCCACAGTGGCTGCATCAATCTGCATTCCCACAAACAGTCCGCAAACAGTTCCCCTTTCTCCACATCCTCACCAGCACTTGTTATTTGTTGATTTATTGTTGTTTGTTGATTTATTGATGATAGCCATTCTGACAGGTGTGAGGTGATATCTCATTGTGCATTTAATTTGCATCTCTCTGATATTTAGTGACATTGATCATCTTTTCATATGTCTATTTGCCATCTGCATATCCTCTTTGGAGAAGTGTCTATTCAGGTTCTTTGCCCATTTTTTCATTGGACTGTTTTCAATTTCATCAGTTTCTAAACTCATCTTTTATTACTTTTACTGACTGGGTCTTATCTTTTTTCCCCCCTTACTCTGTATCAGAAAGTAAACTTACTTACTTTTAAAAAATTTCCCCAGCTCTATTGACATACAATTAATATATATCACTGGGTAAGTGTAAAGTGTTCATTGTGATTATTTGATACATATGTTAATTGTGAAATGACTACCACAATAGGATCTATAGTTTTTCTTTCTTAAAACCACTTCTATTTCATTTAGGTGGCAGTGTTTGCTTGTTTTAAAGATGAACTTTAGAAGTTTTTCTTCCTTTTTAAAGAGGTTTAAAATCTTTTGTAGAAATTGGTCTTAAATGGAAACAATTTTGGTAGTCTTGTGTTTACCTCAGAATTCTCCATTTCATGCAGATATTCAAATTTATTTCCATGGAAGACTGCAAATCTTCATCATGTCTTTATGGCATACCCACCAACATGAAAGTCTGTTCTCCACAAACGATCACACTGTACCAGCCTGGTTGGGCTAATGTCAGCAACACATGACAAAGTGCCTCATGAGCTGTGGACAATGAAGGAAAGCCATATAATAGCCTTAAAATGTGTCTAGCATACATCTGTCAGTATTCAGTTTGAGTATTAATTTACAAGGGCTTTTGTATTCTGCAGCTGTGTCCACATGGCAATATAATAATTAAAACACACTAGCAAAACATTTAAGTAGGAACATTTGCTATTAGAAGACAAAGATAAGAATTTCCTATGCACAGTATAACATTCTAAGTTAATAAGCCATACGGTCATTTTATTGTCTTAATTACTGGAGAAGTTCATAGATATTTTACCTCCATCACTCCTCTCCATAAAGCATTCATTGAACACTATTTCTATAGGATGCTAGAGGAACCAATTTTACTGTGTCTGGTTTTGAATAAAAATTTTACATTATTTAACTCTCATTCAAGCTCCACCTCAAGGAGATAGCAGCATCAACATCATCAAGTAGCATCATTTAGTAAAAGAGAATATTTATTTGTTCTACCCAACTAGCGTTTGTAAATAAGCACCCATGGCCAGATGCAACTCTGACTCTTATTTCTAGTATACAAGCAACTGAGTCTTAAGTAAATGTGCTTAGTATCTATAACACCCAGGTACTGAAATGTAGAGAACTACCAAAAAAGTGTACTTAAGCAAATTCATTGTACTAGATATGTTTGGAGATGAGACTATAAAATTTTCGTTCACTGGAGTTGAGTTGAAAGAGCAGGGGCTTTGGAGGTAGAGAGACAAGGAGTTAATACGGGCTCTGCCATGTTCCAGCTGTATGGCACTGGGCAGGTTACTCTATGAGAGCCTGAAGTTCTCCATCTGTGGAATAGGTATAATAAAACTTGTGTCATGGGATTGTGATGTGGACTGAGCAAGACGATGCGTGTACAGAAAATGAATGTGCCGTACCTGGCAAGAGGAAGGGTCAGTTGTGAGAATCTCGTGTATGGGCTTGTGAACATGTGTCTCATATGTAACCTGTCAGCAAACCTGGCTAAACTTATTAACCCTATAAATTCCTGAAGGGCAGCTTACTGTTTTACTACCTACAGTTATTCTGAAACTATCATTTAAATTTTTTTCTACCTTTTCTTTTGCATCTTGGACATTAAGATTCCAAGCAACACACTCTTTATTTCTGAAACTTGAACACTTTTATCAACAAAAGTTGGAGTTTGTTTTATTTAGTTTTGTTTCTGTCATAAGCAAGGGTAAAATACGCCTCTAAAGCTCGCAATCTTCAATGCTGGCTATTGTCTTATTTAGTTCAGGCTGATATAAGAGAATACCTGAGTGACTTAAATAATAAACATTTATTTCTCACAATTCTGGAAGCTGGAAACCCAGATCAGAGTGCCAGCATGGTCAGGTTTTGGTGAGGCCCCTCTGGCTGGTTCTATCCTCATGTGACCTTCCTTGGTGCATGTACATGGAGAGAAAAATAGGTGTTTCCTCCTATTTTTGTGAGGGAGTTAGTCCCATCACAAGGCCTGGACCTCATGACCTAATATAACAAAAATCACCTCCCGAAGGCCCCACCTCCAAATATGTCACATTGGGGGTTAGTGGTTCAACATAAGAATTTTTTTTGGTGACATATGAACAGTCAGTCCATAGCAGATATTTTTAAAGTTTAAATTTAATAGATTAAAATAAATTAAATTTGAATACAATCTGAAATGAAAGGTTAAGTAGTTATTTATTTAGTTCCAGGGAGTCATTTTTGGTAAGACCATGAGTTCTGAAAATCGTAGAATTTCAGTTTCATTTATGTTGAAAGATAAACTATATCTATCTCTAGAAACAAATAAATTTCTTCTAAAATTATCCTCAGACAGTAGTGTCATATAAATGTTTTTATTTATGATGACTTCATTGGTATCAGTAATAGCTTTTTCCATGTTTTAATACTTATGATAATAACAATAGTATAATAATATATAACCTAACCTGTAATCTTATCCCAAAGCTATTTAATATATTTTATTTTTTCTATGTGTTTTCTAACATATGTACAGACACATGCTC